TCGGAGATATCCAGGTCCGATGCCATGGAGCGCTTTGAAGATGATGACCAACACCTTGAAGCGCACCCGGAAGGCCACCGGCAACCAGTGCAGCTCGCGCAGCAGCGGTGTTACATGGGAGCGACGAGTCCCTCCCAACACCGCCCGCGCGGCCGCATTCTGGACCAGTTGGAGCCTCCGGGTGCTCCTCAAGGGGAGCATGGCTGGCTCAGGAATTCTGGGAGTTGAAGTCCATGAGTCATAAAAGAGCCAAGGTTGCCTACCCCTGGCCAAGTGGGTCGAGAGGTCCACGAGAATCAGGACCTTCCAAATCTCAAGGGGGAGATTGTTCCATAGGGCAGGTGCTGCAATAGAGATGGCCCTCAGTTACACGCTGCCCAGAATCTGTGGATGATGGTGGGTTACAAAAACTGCAACATAATTGAAATTCGGCAAATAAGGCTGCCAGAATAAGGCAGAGTTGAAGGAATCAGGAATAGATTTCTGTGCAAAAGAATTGTTGAGTTCAGTTCATTTCCAGGCCTGAAAATCAATCAATCATGGGTTTGGAACTAACTTGTTTGTTTTATTTTGAATGTATGAGGTTTGCTTCTTGCCTTGTAAGAGCCCTGGTGGCTCAGTGGTTAGAACGCAGTATTGCAGGCAAACTCTGCCCACAGCCTGGAGTTTGATCCTGATGGGACTCAAGGTTGACTCAGCCCTTCCATCCTTCCAAGGTTGGAAAAATGAGGACCCAGATTGTTGGGGGCAAATATGCTGAGATTGTAAACCACCCAAGAGAGTGCTCTAAAGCATTGTGAAGCGGTATGTAAGTCTAAGTCAGGGGTAGCCAACCTTGGCTCTTTTATGACTCGTGGACTTCAATTCCCAGAATTCCTGAGTCAGCTTAGCTTAGCTGACTCAGGAATTCTGGGAGTTGAAGTCCACGAGTCATAAAAGAGCCAAGGTTGACTACCCCTGGTCTAAGTGCTATTGCTATTGCTTTGATTACAGAATTCTAATAAGCATCGAAACGAGCTGGTGTTCTGTTTACAATAGCTGTGGAGGTATTTAAAGTTTATAAGTGTTCATTTATTTTTTTTAAAAAAACCTTTCCCATCATCTTTTTCTTAAAGATTTCGAAGATGATGATTGCATCCTACCTTCTGAACAGATGAGAAGATGTTGGCCATTGTGTAGAAGATGCTTGGAAACACTCAGTGGCTTCTCAGCTTGATTGCTTCAATTCCTCCAAAGACTCGCTGATTGCTTCTTCTTCTTTTTTTTTATAAGAATGGTCGGCCTTTGTCATCTCATCATGCTTCCAATTCTGGCTTAAACCGCTCCCTAAAATGCTCTTTCTGCTTGTCATCTGGTTCTTGAAGGAAAATGTTTGTGGGAACTTTAGTGCTTTGGTTTCTGCTCAGTCCAGTGAAAGACGGGTGGTGGCCTACATGCCTGGAGATATTGTCATTGGGGCTCTCTTCTCGGTCCACCATCAGCCAACGGTTGACAAGGTCCACGAGAGAAAATGCGGAGAGGTAAGAGAGCAATATGGGATCCAGAGAGTCGAAGCAATGCTTCACACCCTTGATCGTATTAATCAGAACCAAACTCTGTTACCCAACATAACCTTAGGTTGTGAGATACGGGACTCGTGCTGGCATTCAGCCGTGGCTCTCGAACAGAGTATCGAGTTCATCCGCGACTCTCTCATCTCGGCCGAAGAAGAGGAAGGGCTGATGAAGTGTGTCGATGGGTCTACATCTCAGTACCACTCGAAGAAGCCCATTGTTGGTGTGATTGGTCCCGGGTCCAGTTCCGTGGCAATCCAGGTCCAGAATCTGTTGCAGCTTTTCAACATACCTCAGATCGCCTACTCCGCCACAAGCATGGACTTAAGCGACAAGACTTTGTTCAAGTACTTCATGCGAGTGGTACCTTCGGACGCACAACAGGCCCGTGCGATGGTGGACATTGTCAAGAGGTACAACTGGACGTACGTGTCTGCAGTGCACACAGAAGGTAAGAAGGCTCTTTTGCTTTTGTTTTCATCCGTGATGCTCCGTGTTTCATTATAGGCTCTCTCTGCCTTTTGTTTAACTAGCAGAGACGGCACAGACACCGACACACAATATTCCGGATTTACTGTTTAATATTTAGAGTGAACGAATGCTGCACATTTTGCCTACATTTCATGAATGTCATAATGATACTATATTTATTTACAGTATATGTCCAAACAATTTATAATTCTTTCATTAGACTGTCGTGGTTCCGACTAATGAAACACTTCAAAGAACTTCCAGGCATTTTATCCTAAAAAAGTCTCTTTATTTATGTGACAAAATGTCGGCACAGGCATGATGAAAGGCAATGCTAGGATCTGAAATCCCCACCCACCGAGCAGTTATTTTTGCTAGCATTTCCACTCCCTATTTTGCTGTCATGATTTACGTTCTCCGATTAGTGTGAAGGGCAAAGGTTCCCTTCCTTTCCCTTTCGCGGGCTTTTCCCTCCTCCCTCCTTCTCCTCTGCATTAACTCTAAAAATACCAGACAGTCCTGCATATTTTGTCAAAGCAAGAATATACAATATTAGCAGCATTGACATAGACAACTTGTGAACCATTGGGTCATTGCTTCTTTACTTAAACAGAGAAAGGCAAAATAGGCAGGCAAAATAGCATTGGAAGCAGGAGCAACTTCCTGCTGGCTTCCCCAGTGACTTTGTTCCTCCTCTCCTCCTCCTTTCTTCCCTCCCAGGTAAACCAGAGAGGAAACATGACTAGAGGAGTTCCTTTTACTTTATTATAAGAGTACATTAACAGAATATTGCAAGTCTGAAGTACACCACTTTTCCCTCACCACTTTTATTATTATTTATAAATTGTATTAGTTTTTATAGGGTTAGGAATGAGGCGGGACCAGGATTGGGGTGGGGATTTGGGTTAGGGTTAGGATTAGAGTTGGAGTGGGTGTTAAGGTTTTTCCAAATAACATTCTCAATATTTAGCAAACATAACAATAACAATAACAATAATAATAATAATAAAGTTGGAAGGGACCTTGGAGGTCATCTAATCCAACCCCCTGCTCAGGCAGGAAACCCTATACCATTTTGGACAAATAGCTGTCCAGTCTCTTTTTAAAAACTTCCAGTGTTGGAGCATTCACCGCTTCTGGAGGCAGGTTGTCCCACTGGTTAATTGTTCTCACTGTCAGGAAGTTTCTCCTTAGTTCTAGGTTGCTTCTCTCCTTGCTTAGTTTCCACCCGTTGCTTCTTGTCCTGCCTTCAGGCACCTTGGAGAATAGCTTGACTCCCTCTTCTTTGTGGCAGCCCCTGAGATACTGGAACACTGCTATCATGTCCCCCCTCGTCCTTCTCTTCGTTAAACTAGACATACCCAATTCCAGCAACCATTCCTTATATGTTTTAGCCTCCAGTCCCCTAATCATCTTTGTAGCTCTTCTCTGTACTCTTTCTAGAGTCTCAACATCTTTTTTACATCGTGGTGACCAAAACTGGATGCAGTATTCCAAGTGTGGCCTTACCAATGTCTGGGTTCGTGTGTTTAACAAGAAATAATCTCCCTCACCACTTTTAACTGCTCAATCAATTATAGCTAGTCCTTCCTAAATTGACCATTAAGCCACTAGGCATTCCTGCCTCTCTTGTCTGATTGTTTTCTAGGCAGCATCTCTTCCCATCATCCCCTTAAGTCATTAAGACATTACACTACAATTCCTCTCTCCTATTTCCTTCCTTCCTTTCTTCCTCCCTCCCTCCCTCCACAGTGCTCCATTCCATTCCATTCCCAGAAGTTAGGTCAGTGACTGCTGCTATGTGGGAGAGGGAGCAAGTGGCCATGAGTGGCCAGACTCAGAGGGACTGGCAGAGAGTGCGTGGTTGAGGAAGACATATTCAAGCAACTTGTGACCTTTCCTGCCAGGTTCCACACTGACTTTTTTCCTGCAGGCTTTCCATGAGCAACGCTTGAAGACATTTCGCTTCTCATCCAAGAAGCTTCTTTAGCCAGAACTGAAGAAGCTTCTTGGATGGGAAGCGAATCATCTTCAAGGAAAAACCAAGAAAGTCCAGTGGCCTTTTGAAACAAGAAAAAAGCACCCTTGGTACTCAGGAGTGGTAGGTTTTAATTTGCGTACAAATGATCTGGAGAGATCTGCCATTCTTGACCCAAGGGAAAAGAGACGTTACAACAAGATGAGTATCGTTGGCGTCAATCCCCTTAGCCAGCATGTCACGGGTTGAACTTGATGCTAATGGGAAGAAGGTTTTCCATGTGATTAACCACTTAAACAAAGCGCTTAACCCAAAAGTCCTTTCGTTGACATTATGAAAATGTCTGGCTAATTAGCTTAATGAAACAGGGCCACCGCCAGACTATTCATCACAACGGTGGCAGCTATGAACAATATAAGAGATAAAGGTACATGCAGATTGGGTGACACAGCAAGGCCAATGCTTGGTAATTGGGGACACTGGATTCTTTGGGTGGATAAGCCTCTTGATCAAGTCCAAAATAAAAGGTTACCTAGTGGTGCCTGCTGACAAATCACATCTGCAAGTTATAAGGAATAAGATCTTCAGCCTCTTGTGATGTGCTTGAATGGAAACATTTTGTGGCGTTCCACGGAGAACTTGCTCAGTCATGTCCTATGACATTTGTAGAGTACTATCCTAAACAGAGTCTTTGGGTCAAATTGTCGAGTTTCTCTTCCACCCACCCTTTTATCTTATGTCCTGTGGTTCCTCTGAAGTTGCGAAGCTTATCCATGGTGGCACATTGGTTAGAATGCAGTATTGCAGGGTAACTTTGCCCACTGCCTGCAGTTCGATCCTGACCAGCTCATGGTTGACTCAGCCTTCCATCCTTCCAAGGTCAGTGAAATGAGAACCCAGATTGTTGGGGGGAAATAGGCTGACTCTATCAAACTGCTTAGAGAGGGTTGTGAAGCACTGTGAAGAGGTGTATAAGCCTAAGTGCTATTGTTATTTTGCTATTGCTATCTGGGAGTTATTCAGGCTCTGCTGAATGGAATTTTTATGGCTGTTCATACATTCCCGTTGCTTTCTATGAGTGGGTGAGATGGGAAAGACATGGAGATGGGTTGAAAGCAAGACCTGTGTTGTTCTTCTTTTATTTGCATGGGATTGAAGTTGGGAGCACTCTAGCTGGATCTACCTTATTGAAACGAATAACTGTTCCTTCTCATGCTTTGCTGTTACTTACCTCTCATTATGTAGTTTTGGCATTACTTATGTATTTATGATGGTTGCAGCATCCTGGGGTCACATGATCACATGATTTGCAACCTTCCCAGCTGGTTTCTGACAAGCAGTCAGTAGGAGAAGCTGGATTTGCCTAGCAACGGCATGATTTATTTAACAATTGCAGAGATTTGCTTAACAACAGGGGCAAAAAAGGTTGTAAAATTGGGTGTGACTCACTTAACAAGCCCCTTTCTTAGCAATGGAAGTTCTTTATAATGCCACTGTTATGGTTCCGACATATGAAACTCTTCAAAGAACTTTGAGGCATTGTTTACCTTAAAGAATCTTTATTCGAGCAGCATAGCTTCGGCATGTACACAGTCCAAGCCAAAATCTGGCTTCCCCTTCCCTCAGCACATAGTATCAAAGCACAATTCCCTCCTACAACTAACAGTCATAAATCACATTCTCCAATTAGTTTGAAATGCTGGCTTTCCACCCAGTTCTTCATCCCGCCATGTCTTATCATCTCTTATTACAAACAGCCTTGGTTCTCACCATTATACAGTATTGTTTTGTCTAACTAATCTTCCATGCACATTCCTCCTCCCCCCCCCCCAGTATCATCTAATTCTAACTCGAAAAATAAATTTTAAAGTAAAGGAAAATGGATGCATCTCCATATGTTATTATTATTATTATTATTTAAATTTATATACCGCCCTATCTCCCTTATGGGACTCAGGGCGGTGAACAGGCGATAATAAAAATCACAATAAATATTAAATAAAAAGCCTGCTCTAAAATACCCCCTATAAAAACCCCTACCAAAATATGTTGTCAAAGCAAGAACATCTGAGGTTAGCAGCGTTGACAGCCACACTTGGAATATTGCATCCAGTTTTGGCCACCGTGATATAAAAAGGATGTTGAGATTCTAGAAAGAATGCAGAGAAGACCCACAAAGATCATTAGGGAACTGGAGGCTAAACCATATGAAGAACTGTTGCAGGAATTGGGTATGTCTAGTCTAGAAGGACTAGGGGTGACATGAAAGCAGTCTTCCAATATTTGAGGGGCTGCGACAAAGAAGAGGAGGTCAACCTACTTTCCAAAACTCAAGTGATTAAAAAAAAAACACTCACACAAAGCCAAAAAGAAATTGGCATGCACCTATCCGCTCCTTACTTTTTTAAAATGTCAAGCTTAATTATCTCTGTTTATTGATTTAATGCTAAATAATAGCCCACAAGCGCCACAATTTATGGTTAAAATTTGTCACTGGCCATTATATTCGGTTTCACAAGTAGGGGAGTGAATCAAGGAACTAGCAACTCAGACAAACAGGCTAACTGCAAACAACAGCCTGATCACTGAACCACCAAGAATTCTCCCACCAACATTGATAGAGCAAGCCACTTGTATATAAAAGAGAACAAACCCCTTTCTAGCACTGATGAGGTTACCTAGTTGGGTAATGAAACGTCTGCAAGAAAACAACCAAGCTCAGAGAGCACCAGGGACCCCACAGTTCAACCCTGAGCTACAAAGATTCTCTACTATGAGAGAGTTGGTTATTTGCCACGGGAGAACATTCACCGTGAAGCACCAGGGAAATCAAGAGATTCAGGCAGTTCAAATGAGTATAAAGATGTATTGCAAGCTTAAGCTCTCTACAAGAATCTGACCAACTAACGGTCCAGGGAAATGAGCGGGAGATAAGAAAGGCATCCAAAGTGGGCTGGGCTTAGATCTCTTGTGGGCACGCAGGGACTCGTGACTTATGATGT